GTTCTTTTGCATTTCTTTTGTTTCTCGTCCCATGTGTTTCGGACTACCAATTTAGTTTGGTAGTTCTGTATGGGGGTTCTCTTAGTTTTCTCTTTCTTTATCGTGTGTGATTCTGTTCTGATTATTTGGTTAGTGGTTACCATGAGGTTTGTATAAAAAAATCTCTTGGAAGTGACTGGATGTGACAGTCCATTTTTTGATGGTTTCTTATTCCCTTAGACTAAGTTGATTCGATCCCTTTCCTCTTCCCCTTCTAAGTTATTGTTGTCACATCTTATTCCTTCTTGTGTTGTGAGTTCCTGTTTAACATGAGGTTATATTTATGCTTGGTGCTTACCTTCCCTTGATCTTTGGTTTTATATTTAAATGTTTGCTAATCTATTTTGGTAGAGGACTGCAATTTTTCTGGTTTTCTCGACCTATTTTCCTCCTTGTTCAAAACTTTGAATCCCCTTTCTCTTTTTTTCCTCAGGGATGAGGGCCTTCTTGAGCACTTCTTGTAGTGGGGGTCTTGTGGCAATGAACTCCCTTAGCTTTTGTTTATCTGGGATAATTATTATTTCTCCATCACATCTGAAGGATATTTTTGCTGGATTGAGTATTCTTGGCTGAAAGTTTTTGTCCTTCAGAAATTTGAATATATCATTCCACTCTCTCCTAGCCTGTAAAGTTTCTGTCGAGAAATTGGCTGAGCGCCTGATAGGAAATCCTTCGTATGTTATTTTTTTTTGTCTAGCTGCCCTTAATATCTTTTCTTTGTCATTGACTTTTGCTAGCTTTACTACTATATGCCTTGGAGAAGGTCTTTTCGTGTTGATATATTTAGGAGATCTATTTATTTCATTCACTGGTATTTCCAGCTCCTTCCCCAGGTTTGGGAAGTTCTCAGATATTATTTCTTTGAACAAGTTCTCTGCTCCTTTTTCCCTCTCTTCTCCCTCTGGAATACCTATAATCCTTATGTTGGATTTCTGGTTTTAACTAATCTTTCATAACAAGATTCTGGCAAAGAATCTGCCAAGTGAAGATTTGTACCAATGATATAATCACAAGGAAACAAGAAAATGGCAGGACTGATATTCTCCTACTCCTAGTATGAGATTAAAAGTTGACAATATAATCAGATCTGAAATATTTATCAACACTAATTCCCTCCTCAAAAAAAGTTATGTTACTATTTTTTTCTGGTGATAGTCAGGGTTACTTGTGTCTTTTAAATATTTTGTTTTATTTTAAATATAATTGACTTCATCTTTATCTCAACCTTTGTACATTTCTATTTTGTTTATATTTACAATGAACAAAATATGTTTAGTATAATAGTACAGACATAAATTTACAGAGGACATACGTGGAAACTTAGGTTTTAGTGATAGGTATCCATGCCTTAATAAGATTAGAGATCAGTGATATTAAAAAAACAAGGAGCTGTAACACTTAAAACAGTATTATAAAGCAACAGTTTTTAAGTGAGGTCCATGGATAGGCTTCATGGACACAATGAACTCTTGCAATTATATACAAATATTTATGGATGTACATTTTACAGGAAAAGGAGCTCCAGCTTTCAACAGATTCTTAAAGAATTTATGACCAAAAAAAGTAATTCAAAATAACTCTTTTAGAAAAGTAAATTTTGTAAGCAACACTTAAAATGGAGGAGGTAAGAGATCAGGAATATCAGTTAGAAAACTGTTTAAAAGGACCAAGGAAGAATTTTTGAAACACACATCATGGTTTGTTCTCTACTGAAGGTATAAGAATACAATAAATAAACTTACTGTCTTCGTGTCTTGGGAAGAAATCCTACCATTTCCATGGCCAGTTGTAAGCGTTCAAAGTCATGCCTCAAATCTTCCCCCTCCACCGTGAAGCAATCCTGTTTATTTAAGAAAACGGGGAAAAAAATCAAGATTACCTATTAAAAAGTGACATAAGCCACTCAAAAATATAGTAATTAAGATAATAACACCTATTATACAAAAATTATAGTTGATGAAATATTTAGACATTGTCAAATTCATAAGACCTCTTATCTTATTACAGGTATGTAAACTAAACACACACCTACCAAAATAC